GGACGATGGTAGGTGGTTAGTTTCAAATTCAGCCATCAACAACCATCTTGCATCTTTTTTCACCACCCTTTTTAAAACATGGGACCCGAGGGATTTTGAAGAAGCTTTATTGGTGGTTCACTTTTCTGTTTATAGATCAGATGAATGAGGATCTCCTCCAGCCTCTAGTGGATGGGAAAATTAAAAAAGCTACCTTTCAGCTTGGATCTCTAAAGGCCCCTAGGCCTGATGGTTTTCCTAGACTCTTTTATCATAAACATTGGGATGTCGTAGGCCCCAAGGTGTGTAGGGCTGTGAAGTGCTTTTTTAACGGTGGGGTTTTGCTTAAAGACTTAAACCACACTAATCTTATTCTCATCCCTAAAGTAACAACCCCTGAGCAGTTTAGTCAATATCGTCCCACAGGCTTGTGCAATTTTTTTATGAAGATTATCACTAAGATACTAGCCAATAGATTAAAAGGGTGTCTTAAGAAGCTCATTTCTCCTTAACAAGCTGTATTTGTACCTGGCCGACTCATTCAAGATAGTATTCTTATTACTCACGAGGCCTTTCATTTCCTTAAGCATAAGAAAAAAGGATGCAAAGGTTATGTTGCGTTGAAACTTGATTTCAATAAAGCTTATGACCGAATCCAATGAGACTTCTTGCAAGCTCTTATGCAAAAAATGGGCTTTCATGCTAGGTGGGTGCATTTGATCATGGAATGTGTATCGACGGTTATTTTTTCAGTGTTTGCTAATGGAGAGCGACGTACATCGTTTACTCCAGCTTGTGGACTCCGGCAAGGTGACCCTCTTTCGCTTGACCTCTTCTTCATTGTAGCGGATGTTCTCTCTAAACTCATCCCACAACACATCACCAACAACTCCATATCTGGATTGAAAATGAAAAAGACTCGTCCTCAGTTGTCACATCTATTTTTTGCGGATGATGCAATTTTATTTTTCACAGCAGAAAGGTCGGACTGCCGATGTATTTTGAGGCTTCTTCAAGTGTACAATACGGCTTCTGGCCAAATTCTTAACTTTGACAAATCCGGCGCTTTGTTCTCAGCCAACACTTCTCCTTGTTGCCGCCAGGCTGTTTGTAAAGCAAATCCTAAGGCTAAGTACCTTGGTCTCCCTGCGTCCTGGGGTAAATCCAAAGGCAAAGCTTACAATTTCCTAATTGAGAGGGCCTTAGCTAAAATGCAGTGGTAGAAATCTAAGTTACTGTCTTAAGCTGGTAAAGAAATTCTCATTAAGGCTGTTGTCCAATCCATTCCATCATATGCGATGTCCTGTTTTGAACTTCCTCAAGGTTTTTGTGACAAGCTCAACTCCATGATTAAGAACTTCTAGTGGAAAGGTGAACCAGAAAGTCGAGGCATAAATTGGGCTAATTGGGATACTATGACATCTCCAAAATTTGGTGGGGGTATGGGTTTTATAGATCTCAAGGTTTTCAATCAAGCTTTGCTAGCCAAACAGGGATGGAGACTTTTAACTAATCCTCATTCTTACTGGCTAGGATGTTTAAAGGTCTATACTTTCTTCATTCATCATTCTTAAAGGCGACAAAGGGCTCAAATGCTTCTTGGGCATGGCCAAGTTTACTTAAAGGCATAGACATTCTCCAAGCAGGCTTAAGGTGGCAAGTTCAGTTTGGGTACCAGATTTAGATTTGGGAAGATCGCTGGATTCTATCTCTCAAAGGTTTTCAACTCACAACCTCCAAGCCTATTGACAGTCCTGTTTACTTGGTGGCTAACATCATTGATCCTACCTTACGGAAGTGGAAGTTGGGCTCTCCTCAGCAAATCCTAACAAAGACAGAAATTAATGCTATTTTGAAGATAACTATTGCAGTAGAATGGCGTGACGACCTTTTAGTTTGGCATCATAAAAAATCAGGCCTTTACTCTATTGAATTTGGTTATGTGGTTGCTAGGTCCATTCTTGGGAAAGAATCTGCAGTCAGGGCATCATCCTCTACTACACTAGATGAGAATATGTGGAAGTCTCTTTGGAAGCTTAACATTCCCCCAAAACTCAGGCATTTTTGGTGGAGAGTGTGTCATCATCTCCTTGCAACCAAGGTGGGCCTTCACAAGAGAGAATACGGGTCTTCTCCCATTTGTCCTTTTTGTCTTTCAGATGCAGAAATAGTGGAGCACCTCATGTTTGACTGTCCATGAGCACAACCAATTTGGTTTGGCAGCGCTTTAAATCTCTGAATTAATAGAGGTTCTATCCTAAATGTCACCAAATGGACAAGTGACCAGTTTCTCTTACATCATTCTAAGACTGAGGCTCAAAATTTCATGATGTATGTGGTTATTGTTGGTTGGTTTATTTGGAAGTCCAAAAACAACTTAGTTTTCAATCACAGCCCCATTGACGTTACTGTTACTCTTCACCAAATATCCCAGTTCTGGGTGGATCATAATCATTTCCGCTTAACCTCTGTACTGTCGGATCAGTCTCTAAATCCTCATTAGTCGGCGGCAATTGAGGGTTGGTCCCTAGCTCCCCACGACCTTTTGAAAATCAATTGTGATGCTGCTTACTGCCCAAGGATTGCTAAAGTTGATATTATTGCTGTTTTTCAGAATTCTTCAGGCCATTTTATTAACGGCATTGCTAGGACCATTGTGGCATCGTTAGCCTCCCAGGCTGAGGCCTGTGCAGTCCGTATGGCTTGCCTTTTTGCTCAAACCCATAGTCTCATGTGTGTGGCCATTGAGAGCGACAATCGACAAGTCATTCAACTTAGTGTTTCTAAAAATGTCCTTCCGTGGGAGCTAAATGCTGTGATTTGCGATGTTAGAAGTTTAGCTAAATGCTGTGACTCGTCGTGATAACAATAAGGTGGCTCATTGGGTTGCTAAGTCTCTAACCTCCAAGTCTCTCCCTCCTCTTTGGAATGTATACCTTCCTGTTTCTTTTAGTTCCTTAATTGTTTCTGATGTAAGTTCCATTGAGTCTTAATACAATGCCTTGACAGTTAAAAAAAAAAGAAGTTGAAGACACAATTTTAACTGAAGTTGCAATTTCAAAAATGCAATTAAGCATTACTACCAATCACTAAAATATTTGGTTGCCACAATTAACATTCCTTACAAATGCTTGCAATTATAGATACAACACACTGAAATATTGGATCATCACAATCAACAGTCCTCACAAATGCTTGGAATTAGGGGTGATTAGACATTTGGATGACCCGATAGACCCGCCCGCTTTAGTCAGCGAGCGAATGCTTGGATCGGGTGGCGGATAATCAACCCCTAAACCATGCATGCCCGACCCGCCCATATAAATTTTATTATTATTGTTTTTAGTGATTTAGTTCTCTTTTCTATATTCTCCATCAGCAGTGGAGAGAGAAACAACCAAACCCTACCTTTCTCGTCTTTTGTCTCTCTACATCAACTCGATTGGCGGTGGTGACTATACAACGACGACGATCTACCAACAATTGGCGGCTCTGCAGCGCGACAGTAACGACGGTACGCTCTTCTCTTCTCTTCTCTTCTATGTTCTTTAAATCCACGATTGATGCAATATTTTTCTAAATCTTTTTTTCTTCTTTTTAAATTTCAGATATAATTTTTCTCCCATTGATTTGAAGTTTTTTCAAAACAAGGTAATATTTATTTCATTTTAGTGTTCATTTTATTGTTTGATTTCAGATTTTCTGTTTTTTGTTTCATTTTTCTTGTCCACCAAAGTGGACATGCACTGTTGTGTATTTGCTGTTCAAAAATTAAAAAAAAAAAAAATACTGCGTATTTAAATATATATGTTATAATCCTTTTATGTTTGGTTTTCACTGGGACGACACAGAGATAAAATTTGATTATTTATTTGTTGTGTATTTATTTTATTTAATTAATTATTTATTTTTTGATTATTTATCTACGATGATAGCTTACTTGGCATGAACTCAGAAGGATGACAGAGCAGTTATATGAATATTAGAGATCTAGTCCAAAGAAACACACAGGCATATTTGGCATGAACCTGATCCATCCCCCCAAAAGACGGTCATATTTGGCATGAACTTGAATATTACAAATCTAGCCCAAAAAAACACATACAGTAATGAACTATAAGTTGGAAAAATGCTCAAAGTTTGTAAAGTCCAAACCGTCAAACCGATTGCTACCATCTACCGATCCATGGCCCGTTCAATCTGCATTCGCCAACTAAGCGGACAGATGCAAATTGATTTTTTTTCAATCCGCCTACTTTTGGATAGATGGTGGATAGATTCCACCCAACCCAACCCAACCCAACCCAAACTGTGAGCACCCCTACTTGCAATTATAGACACGTCACATTTGAGGTCTGTAATGTGTTTTATCATTTTTTTTTCTTTTTTACTATTTTGTGTATTTCTGCTACTTTCACCTCTTAGTTGATTTGTCAAACTCGTTTATTTTGAATATATATTTATATATTTAATATTTTATTTATTTATTTATTTATATGGGTTGGCGGTAGCAATATTGCTACCCTGCTATATTTCTTTGTTTCTCTCTCTCTATATGTATACTAATGGATATCACTTTTCCAATTTAAAAAACAAATGAATGCTGACACTATTGTCACTTTTTTATTTTTGTGTTTGGTTGGTTTTCAAAACCTATTTTCAAAATTAGATTGGTAAAAAAAAAAAGCAACATAAAACTCAAATATTTTTTACATCAAACGCATTGACTGTTGCACCGACCTATGAAGCACGGATACTTCGAAATGGCCTCCGCACGTGTATCGGATACGTATTGAATACGTGTCCGATACATCGAGATACGTATCAGACACGACAAAAAAATATTTCGATTTTTTTTTTATTTTTTTTTTAAAATTTCGGATACGTTTGGAATACGCGAGGTTACTTTCGGGATATGCTTAGAATACTTTTGGGATACGACGGGGTAAAAAAATAATTTTACAAAATTATAATGGGGGCAAAGTGTAAAATAACAAAAATAATGTAAAATAAAACAAAGAAATCAACCAAGCCCTAGGTCTAAGGGTCGCGAACAGCAAGCAGCAAGCAGCAAGCAGCAAGCAGCAAGAGGAGGAGTCTCTATCTTCTCTATCGCAAGCTTTGCAAACAGCAAGGAGGAGTCGTCGATCAAGCTTCGCGAACAGCAAGCAGCAAGGAAAAGGAGGAGTTGTCGTCGATCAAGGTTTGTCCCTCTCCCTCTCGCTCGATCTCTCTGTCCCTCTCGCTCGATCTCACTCACTCTCTCTGTCTCTCCCTCTCGCTCAATCTCATATTCATATGTCTGCCGCATATACATCGATCTGTTTGCTGGTTTATATATATAATGAAGGGAAACATATAGCTTTATATTCTGATTTATTGCTTTTTTGTTATTTAGAGCATGTTTAGGAATTGATTATTTTAATTAAATTTTTTTATTTTTTCTGAGAAGATATATAAAAAAATAAGAAGAGTTTTCATTTTGATTATTTTAATTAAAAAGTTACCTGCCAAACAATGCCTTAAAATTTTCAAAAACTTAATTCAAAAAACTCAAACCAAACAAACTGAGGCTCACATATGAGAGAGAAAGAGAGAGAGAGTTTTCTGATTGGATTCAAGTTGCCATTCAACTTGAGAGAATAATTTAGGTTTAATGGACTAATTTTGGGGTTGATTTTAATTATTTAAATTGTTGTCTTTTAAGAATTGTTAAGTAATATATTTATGAAAAAATTTAAGATGATCAAATATCGGTAAGAAAATGGACAATAAATATAATTTTCAAAATAACCATTTATTTTTTGTAATAAAAATGTAATTCAAACATATAGTTACCCATTTCCAATTATTTTAATTTTTTATATGACTATTCTAATCAACGAATCATAAAAAATGAATAATTTAAATTACCGAAATCAATTTCAAAATAAATTTATCAAACTTAAATTATTCTCTCAAATTAGATAGCAAATTTGTGAGAATTCAAAACCATAAGTTTTCAGTGAGTTTCTTGGTCTTTGACTTTGATTCACCTTCTGTTGGAGTAAAGTTAGTTATCATTGATGACTTAAAAAAAGTATATTTGCTGAAATTTTTATTTAAGAATGGTTTTTTTTTATCAAGTTATCTTTTGCTTTAGGTTTTATTTTTATGCATAGTACATTACTAAAAATTGTAAAAATAATATTTTTTACGAACGTATCCCCACCGTACCCGTATCCTAATTTTTCAAATTTTGCTGTATTGCCGTGTCCGTATCCCGTATTTGTATCCGTGCTTCCTAGGCACCGACAGATTATAAACCTGAATTAGGTACCCAAACCTGAATTGTTTTGCTAGGTATGTTTTTATTTATACAGGGGAGAGGGAGAGAGAAGAGTGGAGAGGGTGTGGTGTGATGGGGGATTCAAACCCTAGAAGAAGTGTGAGATGTCCACACTGTGCAGGTCCTCTCACAAAGGAGATGGTAACCACTGAGGCTGAGCTAAGCTTTTACGCACCTCTTTCTTTCTATTATTATAATTTTAATTATTTTGTGAAATCTGGTGCATCTTCTATTTAACTGCAGGAAACAAGTGACTGGACTCTTCCTCCCCTCATTAGGGATAGCTTTTCTATGGTAATTATTTTCTTAACCCATCTTATATTTCATTACTTGCCATTGCTTGCACTTGATGCATCATGTGCATATCATCACCTACTTAATTCATTTTTGAATTCTAAATCAAACCAAAGTAAAAGTAACAAATAGTAAACCTGTCTTTAGATTCACTTAAATTTCGAAGTGAATGGGAATTTGGACCAAAATCTTCAATTTATCCTTTCTTCTATTCCATCTGGAGAATTCTTCGTCGTAGAAATTGTTTCAATATGTATGAATATAGAGTTTGTGTTAATCGTGAGATTTTTGCAACATGGTTGAGGAACATTGGAAACTCTAAGGGAGTTATCTGTTGAAGGTGGAGTTTTGGAGTGAATTGAGGATTTTATATATTTACCCATTTAGTAAAGTGTATGTCTGTCAATATGTGTCATGTTTTTGTTTGTTGGAAACAAAAAAAGTGTTACACAACTCCAATAAAGTGTTCACACCAAATTGGGTATTCACTTTGCAATTTAATAATAATAATTTAGATAATATAGTATTGACGATAAAGGCGCGCACACACACATATGGGCTAATGTTTGTTTGTGTGTGTGTGTGGAGAAAATTGTATATTTGCTTAATTTAGTGCAATTTTCTTGAACTTTGCATATTTAATTAGTTTGTTGGGTTATTGAGATGTGATTTGATAATATTTCACTAAATATTCTTCAAAATTTTACTTTTGTTCGTCTTATGTTACAATCCTATAGTTATTCTAAGTCAGTTAACAATGAGGTTGGCCATGTGAGTATATGCTGTCAGACATCCTCTTATTGCAAGTTGGTTTTCAAGGGTGAGTTTTACCCAAGGGTGTATCATTCGGTATTAGAACTAGTCACCATGTGGATTATGAGATTAGACACAACCTATGTGAGTACGGGATTGAATGGGCCACTGCTTTACGGTCTGTGCTGCGGAGTGAGTAACCTATGGGCCAGATTAAAACATCTTATTATTGTGTGTAGGTATAGTACTATCGTGTTGAATATTGAAAAGTGAGTAAGTCTACAAAAGGGAAAGGAAAATGGCTATTGTTAATTAAGTGTCAATAGAGTGGGCTGTCATGTATGTCAATTGTGGAGTGTGGTGGTATGTTACGATCCTAACTATTTTATCCCTTTATTTTGCCTCCATGTTTACTTTCTTCTTTCTTTTGTTATGTCTTTACTATTTCTTTTCATGTAGATTGGTTCTGCTGTTGGTTGTACAACAAGTGCATTCTATGGATTCAACCATGGTATGTCATTTTATCTTTATTTTCTACTCTTGTGTTCGTCAACTCTTCAGTCTGTTCTATGACCTTGAAATAGTTACGTCATTCCTTCAGGTTTTAGTTCATAGTAATATGTTGTTAGCTGTGCATGAGTTACAGCTTATTTCATTGGGTTCCTTATATTGCTACTCTATATGTTATTTGAAGTAGGTATTTTTGTCATTATATGACTTATGGTCCCAGTTATTTTGTTGTAAACCAATGGTTTCAAAATGGTTTAATTTAGTAAAAGCATGAAATTTAACATGTTAAAAGATTAGTATGTCAATGCACGTTAACTTTTGTGTGTGTGCGTGCAAGCGTGCGTGCGTGTGATGTTATTACCACAAAAAGAGATATTACAATTGCTTTCATTACACCTCCCCAATGGGTACACATCTTCGGGGAGATACCCACATGCCTAGCCTAAAACATGCAAGTACCCTTATAGTCAAATAGAATAGGCAAAGCACACAAATACACATCGGAGCCTTAAGCACCCACTGGTGATATAGTTAATGCTTGTTGGCAGTTGAATTAGCTATACAAATTGGGGAACTAACACGTAGTTTGCTATCAAAGAAGACGATCCACTTTTTTGTTAGATTTGACTTCTTCATTCTTGTATTCATTACTTTTCTTAAGGTTCAAACCTTGAACTTTGTCTCGATTTTTCCAGGAACAAAGATGCATTTGCTAAAGTATTATAGTTGCATTTATATATATATTTTTTGTATCATATCTTATGCTTCTAGGTTTAAATTAGAATGCAGTAGCCACTAAAACATTTTTTTTATTACAACGACAAGAAAAAGTGTAGAGTTCAATGTTGTAAACTGATGGTATTTTAATGTGGCATGACACAATAAAAGAAAGTTTTGCATTAACCATAATCTACATGTGGCTTTGATACTTCAGTAAACAAATGGTATTCTAATGATATAATTCCTGTTCCATTGTTACTGCGAATCTTCTTTTTCTTCTCTTTGCATAATATAGCACTCTGAAATTACTTTCCTGAGCAATACCATATGTTGATTTTCTCAATCACTGAAATTTTTATTGTTAGTGATAAACTTTTGACAAAGAGTACATACACTTCTTTTACAATTGTCTTCTTTCCCTCCATGTATTTTGTTATTTATTTTATCAAATTACCTCTACAGTGATGCCAATCGTTCAGAGGTGGGTTAAAGGACCTATCTGGTTGCATTTCCTCATCGGTGTAAGTGTCAACTTCAGTTTCGATTCCCCATTTGCTTGAGCTTTGATTTTTACTTGCAATTTTAGTTCCTTGTATAGCTTAAACATGTCATTCAATAGGCCCGTTTGGTAGAGCTGTGGAAAAGTGATTATAGATTATAGGTTAACAGATTATAACTGTTAACCTGTTTGGTACAACTGTGAGATTATAGATTTAATCAATATAGTAGTATTTGGTTAAATAAGCTGTAAAATAACTTTTTGTTGTGTAGTGTCATTTTTGCCCTTTTTTTCTCTTCCTTTATTTTATTTTTTATTTTTTCTTCTCTTCTTTTCTTTTCTTAATTGTTTTTTATTCTTTTCTTTCCTTTTTTTTTTCATTTCTGCTCTTAATTTTTTTTTCTTCATTTTATTTTATTTTCCTTAGTTTATAGTTTATTTTTTCAAATTAGAAATGGTGCATGTATAGTGAGATTGATCATGAGAAAATTTTGAAAAATGTTGAAATACCAATTAATTGATATTTTTTTAATTTATTAAAAATTAAAAATTATTTCAAATACCAATTTAATTTTCAATTTATTTTTTCAAATTAGAAGTCAGTTAATTGATATTTTATCATCCACAATCAGGACAGCTGAAATGCCATGATCAATCTCAACAAACACATTTGGATTAATCGAAGAAAAAAGAATCACAAATGTGTTTGGATGGATAGATAAAACTGAAATCTGGGAACACATCATAATCAAGTCCAAGCTAGCCTCTTGACTACAGCAGCCATATACTTGCCCTAATGCTCTGCAAGTGCCAGCTCTGTGTCAGTTGGTTCTCTTGTGCCATCACCGGAAAAAACTCCAGCACCATATAGGGACCCACCCGAATGGAATCCATCTTGAACATACCAGCTCAGTTTCAGTTACTTTGTGATTTCGCCAAAAAAACTCTTCAGATCGGAGTCTTTAACTCTCTTCTCTCTCTCTGTCAAACTGTTTTTGTTATCTATGATGGAAAACAAGACTGAAAACCGGTGAGAAAACGAATCGTTGTCACTCTGGGAGTTGAAAAATGGTGTAAGATTCGGAGGAACCTTTGTTGGTCAAGAGCGCTCGATCCGATCTTCAAGTTTCGTGATCCCAAAAAGGAGAAGAAAATGAAAAGATGACTATCATCGCCGGAAATCGCCCATCTCGCCGGAAATCTCCGTCGGAAATCGCCTCTGTCTCTCTCTCTCAATTGAACAATGAATAGTGTTTTACAAAATGAGATTTATATAAATGGGTTTTTGGTAATAGTTGGGCATTGACGAGGGAATTTAAGTAATTTTAATCCCCCCTTACCAGCTGCCTGCTTAAATTGATTTTTCTAAGCATCCCAAGAGCTGCTTTGAAAAATAAGCTGAAAATAGCTTAACATAAGCTATAAGTTGTTTTGATAAGCTGTGCCCAACACTTTAAAATAGCTTAATATAAGCTAAAAGTTGTTATAAGCTGCTTATAAGCTGTGCCAAACAGGCCCATTCAATTTGTATAGAAGAATTTATTGTGTGGTTAGAATTTGTAAAGATGTCGCGTCCACAATCTTGCTCTAGGTAGCACGGAAGCTCTTAGCATTACATATTACTGTCCAATTCAGTTTGGATGCTAGCACCTAAAGGGCAAGCATCGACATGTGTTTGACACACTTACGGTTGTCCATATCGTGTCGTATTCATAACCCATGTTATTTATGCTTGTTAGATATTGTTGTAACATAGACCTAAAAACATGTGTCACACGATTCGGTTTGATACACTAAACAACCGATTTGTATCTAAGGGTGAATCGACAATAAGCATAAATTGCATCATAATTGTATGATGCATGATACGTATTACACGATTTAGTTCGATACACCATTACCAATCAATTGGTTCAACTTTATCCACATGTTTCTACTTGCACAAGAAATATTTGGGAGGCATCAAGCAAGAGGTTATAAAAAGTGGTGATTTGAGTAGTTTGGATCATTTGAGATGAGTATTTGGATTACTTGAGTTGTAAAATTTATTATTGGCGTTTGCCTCTTCGATGAATTGAAGACTTCTTTTTTTTTTTCTTCTCATTTTTTTGAAAGGTCTCTTTTTAGCACGAGTTTCAATTCTAGCATTTGTGTTTTGCACCAAAACTGAAGTCTATGTATACCCTGTATAAAAAAGAAACCAACTATATTCTATTAAATTTATCTCACTATTGTGATTTGAAATTTTTTTTATCTTTCTTTTTTGACGGACCTTGGATTCTTGTCTCCATTGATTCATAACAGTACATGTATTTATGGATTGTCATTAATTGTAATGCATAATAAAAAAATGTAATATAGGATCATAGATTATACTGATCCTTGAACCTACATCACTTAGAGGCAAGCATGTTATTGCCTATTGCACCATGTGATCATCATTCAAAACAAACTTTTCATTGATTTATGTCTAAAATTTTCATATTTATAATATATCTTTAATATCTAATTGTTTGAATATTTTTTAATGTATTTTAGAAATTATAACCAAATAATTACGATTCATGATTCGGAAAAATGTAATTTCGATTCATGATTCAATTCTTGATTTGATAACTGTGTTGGGATATTGTCTCTTCACCAACATGTCAGTACTTGTGGTGTTAAGCTTATTAAATGTTCTTTTATAATTGATTTTATTTCTTCATTTTTGTTTTAGGTGAGGGTCTTCCTTTTTTTTCAAAAATATTTTAGATTATATCTTTCTCCTCAAGAGTTTTAAGATTTCTCATGATCTCTATCCTCTTCCACGAAGTCCAACATTGTCTACCCCAATTGCAAGCTTGCTTGTTTCGGGTGATGCTTCCCCCACCTCCTCTTTCACTACCCCAAAATTTCTGACACTGGCTCAATAGTATGTTTCATTTATCTACTTTCCCAATTACCACATATTCTACTCTATGATCTAGGTAAGCCTATCTTGGCAATGCTATCATAACATATCTTCAAGTATTTAAATATCTTGTCCAGTATGCACCTCTGGGTGAAGTGAAGTAATATAAGAAATGATGCAAGGTAGATTAACTGTGTTGCACACTTTTAGAAACATAGGAAGTTGAGCTCATTAAAATTCAGTTAGGTTAAAAATCTTATGTTATTCGCATTATGTGGCAATGCTTGATGAAGTTATACATGGAACTAATAGTTTTGTTATTTTATTTTTTATTATTTATTTATTTATTTATTTTTTCGGTCTTCATAAAAACATCTAGAGTCTTAATGGTTATATCCATAACCCTCTCTCTCATAAGTGTGGGTTTTTGTAATGTGTGAGAGATGGCATTGGGTACAGACACGGGGGCTGTGGATTCATATTTTGTACCTTTTTTTGTTGGTGACTTTGTTGCCGTTTCTTTCACTGGGTGCAGGCTCCACCTGTGATAGTCTTCTCTTCAGCTTGTGCAGGGTTGACAGGTAAGAGTTTTCTCCATAAAAAATTATTTTCAGCTGTATATCTATTCGGTTTTATGAATTGTTTTCTTACCTTCATTAATGTTGTTGGAGAAACTAAAACTATATTGAATGAATTCCTCATAGATGAAATATACATTCATAATCTAGCACAGGTTCTATATGAATCTTTTATCAGTTTGTGGTACATTTTATGTATTATGTAGAGTATCTTGTCCTGTATATTTTAGAATTGCCACATTATAAACTAATAACCCAGGATAACACATCTTAAGAGTAAAATAGATGAATGTAAATTTATGTATTGTTCCACAAATGCGTCGTGAAAATGCCAAAATTGGGTTTTTATAGAGCAGTGGTTATAGCTTTTGTTTCCCCCTAGCACTATTGGAGTGTGGTACATGGAGATATTGTGGTAGTTTCTGGCATTTTCATGAATTAGGAGTGTTTGAGAAGATTTTGAAGGCCTCTTTCATTGTTGTAGTGCTCATGAACGTGGGTTCATGGGACATCTAGGATTATAGACCTATCAACCTTGTGGGTAGTCTATATAAACTTGTGGCCATAGTTTTGTTTTGGCTATTTGGATGAGGAAGGTCATTGGGAAGTTTAGTCTCAAAAATTCTTTTTTCTTTTGAGAACTCATGTTGGTGTCTCATTTGGTATTTGAGAACAACAACATATTTTTTTTTTTGGTGGGGCCAAGGGGCAGAAGTTGAGATATGATGTGTCCTTATATTTTGCGGAGGTGTTTGGGTATGCATTAACTTGGCCTAGAGTGAGCTTATCGTTGTCTGGTTCTCATTTTGGGGGTATAAGATAGGTTCTCATTTTGGTCACGGTAGGCTGTGTCTGGGAGGGAAGAGCATACCTAAATCATGTAGTTTGCTCTGGGGCATTATTGGAAAACTAGGTGGAATTTATTTTTGCAGATACTGTGAAGTCATGTCTGTGTTGAGAACTACAATGTTCTGATCCCCAATGTTGGTCCATCATGGATATTGAGAATTAGTGAATTATGGCTCTCTGCTGCAGATAGGGATGCTTTTTGGACATGCGATTTTGTGGGTGTATATATAGAATATGATTGTTTCATTATGTGAAGCTTCTATTTTTATTTTTTTTGATAAATAAATTTCATTTTGTAAAGTTGATTTAAACCTTATTGGATGGGCATTTTGCAGGTGGTGCTGTTCCAGCACTTGCCCAACTTGCTTCTTCATCTTATCATTCAGCATTCTCACCTCCGTCATTGCCATCTCCAACCTCACAGGATGATCAGATTCACAAATCCAGAAATTCCTCTCCTCTATAATTCTTTCTACAGTTGCATAAGTAGCAGAGCACTCTGGTGATGTCCGTTGTGGACCATGGACCTGAGCCATTCTCTATGCTTTGTGGATAGCCTCACAAGAAGCTTCTGCAATAAAATCCATGGCTGTTCTCCTTAGGCCCTGTAATATGTTCCAGCTACAGGCATGGTTCTTATGTATTATGTATGTGGCAGAGCTAGGGATGGTTCTCTATGTTTATATATAGATATATCTTTTATTGAGCATTATTCTTTATGAACTAGTAAGAAGTTTTGATGGCTCTGCTATTTTACTTCAGATTTATTTATGTTGTATATTTTGAAAATGCTCACTTGCCTAGTCTTCCTTTGTCTACATGTACATGATACACTTGTTTGAAACACAATCTCATGTTCTAATTTTATATATATATATATATATATTTTATATAAAAAAATAATATAATTTTTCTTGTTTGCATAGGTGATTTACTCAAGGTTTTACCATATAAATGGTTCCAATTATCGAAATTGAATCTTGTAATGAGCCACCAACACACAACACAGTCCAGTTCACAAAACTAGAGGAAAATGAATAACTGGAATTTAGTAAGTGTTATCAAGTGAAGTGCTAACCTAGGACATACAGGTCAAGTGCTAACCTGGAGGAATCGTGTTGTCTATTGAACAAATTTACCAGTTGGGTCTCAAGGAGGGCAATCATAGATTATAGGTAAGACTGTAAAAGCTGAGTCCAATTGAGTAATATGTTATTCAAATTTGATTTGAACATTTATTGAGTTTGTTTAAATTTTAGTTTGTTTATATAATGAGTCAATTTTAATTGAACTTTTAATGAGTCAAATATAGGTCCAGTTAGAGTAGTTTGATTTTTTCTCTTTTTTTTTTTTTGGAGAAACTAAAACTATATTGAATGAATTCCTCATAGATGAAATATACATTCATAATCTAGCACAGGTTTTGTTTAAATTTAATGAGTTAAAAATTTTGTTTAAGCTTGGTTTATTAGATAGGGCTGTAAATGAGTCAAACCGAGTTTTTGAGTGTTCAAATTTGTTTGTTTAAAAATTAATTGAGTTTGAGCTCCGCTTGTTAAGTAATTTGAGAAAGTCAATTAATTACATAAAATGAGCTGAGTTCAAGCTTTAAAAAAAAAAGAACTTAAATTAATTTTATATAAAAAAGAAAATGTTATTAGCAAAATGTAAAGTGATATTTATATTAATAATAAATTTTATTAATCAACTATACAAATTAACACAAAAATTAAACACAAATAGAAAAATAAAATAAATTAACTTGTATAACATTATTATAATTAGAAATAGGGCAAATTACATATACACCCCTTGAGGTTTGGCTAAATTACAAATACCCCCTGAGGTTTGAGAAATTACGAATTCCCCCCTGAATGCTATATTTGCATAAGAAATTAGGGGGTAATTTGTTATGAAATATAAACCTCAGGGGGTAAATTGTTATGAAAATACAAACCTCAGGAGGCGGGATGTAATTTCCGAAACCTCAGGGGATATCTGTAATTTAGCCAAACCTCGAGGGGTGTATATGTAATTTGCCCTTAGAAATAAGTAGAGGGTTATTATTAGGTAATTAGGCGCTTGAGGTTTAGGATTTTCTATAAAAGGGCGAGCTCTCGCAACGTTGACGCACACTACTTGATCTTATCTGAGCAGTGCCTTTGTTTTTTGGGGTTGGATTGGAATCGTATTGGGAGGAGGCGGAGTTTGAGGCGGAGTCGATGGCGATGGAGGGAATGGCCGAAAAGAAGCAGAGAGAAGATAGTCACCCACCCATTACCCTTACATGTAGTAATGGGGTTGTTGGCGGCCTCCGCTCCTCTGCTTCGTCAGCCACTATCTCCATTCTCTGTCAAACCCTAACAACTACTACCTACTCCCAACAATACTTCCTCCCCAATTGACTCACTGCGATGAAGACTGCCCGCCGTCGGAGCCCTTTAGACTTTCCATTGGGCGTTGATGGCAGCGCGGGCTGTATCAACCCCCAAATAACTCTCTCTCTCTCTCTCACACACACACACACTACGTTTATATTATATATAGAGTATTATTTATTTTGTTGTTTATTTCATCTATTTAACTCTTGTGTTTTTTGTTTTCGTTTTTTGATCATCTCATGTATTGTTGTACTATTGTTGGTGTGTTGGTTTAGATGTAGTTGACGACTCTCAGCATCGACTTCAGGTCGTGGTTATTGTTATTATTATTTTGTTTATATATGTGTATATGTTTATTTATCTCTTTGAATTCCATTATATATCTGCGTCATTGCTTTGTAATAAGTTTGCCAAATTATTTATTTATTTCTTGATTAATGCTTCTCATATTAACACTGTGTTTGGCTGGAGGGATTTGGGAAAAGATTTGGAAATGGACAAAAGAAAATGAAGGTGAAATTTGTTTTACACATTTTTTCTTTCCCTTTTCGAATTCTTTGCCAAATCGCTCAACCAAACATGGCGTTAGGTTAATAGGTTTTTATTTTTTTTTTGGGGGGGGGGGTTTGTTTTTGTGATTTTGGAATTGAAATTGAAACCAATAAAAATTTGGGAACATCCGTTGTTTATGTATTCTTATGCACTCATTCACTGAGCACCTATGTGAATTCAGACACTAAACCAAGCCAAGTCAAGTCTTAAGTGGGTCAGCTATATGAATTTTTTTTTCCACGCGATTCTATCAAAGTTATTTTGTTAGTTAAATTAAGTAGATTCATATCTCTATTTATAATGCTAGCCAACGATAATTTAGGCCTACCCGGTCTCCTAACACTTTCATATTGTATCGCGTCTTTTCAACGGTCTCTCTTAGTCTTTGTTGAATATGACTATACTATCTCAATTGATTCTTTCTTAACTTATCTTCTATCGGTGTTATTCCTATCCATTCTTGAATACACTCATTTTTAATTCTGTCTTGTGTAGTCTTGCCGCACATTCACCTTAGCAACACTCATTTTATTTACATGTTGTTTCTTGGTTGCCTAACATTCCATCTCATACAACATCGCTGGTCTAATAGCTGTTCTATATAATTTACTTTTTAGTCTAGTGCGTATTCGTTTATCGGATGATACCCCAAACGCACTTATCTACTTATTCCATCTCGCCTCCTATGGGCCACGTCCGTATCAATTTCCGCAATAGTTGTGATAATCAATCTTAAATAACGAAAATGTTCATTCTTAAGTAGTTCTTGGTTATCAATCTTCACTTCTCCTTTGCTGTTACTGTTATTAAATTTAACTCTAGGTACTCTGTCTTAGTTCTGCTTATCCGCAATCTTTTAGATTCAAGTGCTTTTCTCCAAATCTCCAACTTTGTGTGAATTTAGACACTGTTCTTTTAAAATCGTTACGGTTGTTTGTGATATATGTTCCATGTGTTTAGCTTGAATATTCCGTTCTTTGTTTTTATCATATATTATCATATCAGATTATTCTTCTATTGATAACTGCAATAGTCAATTGTGAATTTCATTAGCTGCCTTGATTCAGCATGAGTCATTCAGATTCTAATCTGTGCCTTTTGGTCGATGCAACAAGTAGCTGAGTGGGTAATGACAATGGTGCAAGGTTTTCCGGGTAAGACAATGAATTATTCGAATACTTTCACATTGTTAATTATGTAAACCTTGTCATCATACTTGCAGCCTGCTTTTTGAATAAAATTATAGTCAATTGAGTTCAGTTATGGAGCCAGTAGAAGTTGGCATGATAGCCATCCCAAAATAAGCTACTTTTTGCCTATGTGCATTGATCTTATGAAGGAAATGCAATGTCAAGTTTCTACTCTTTTTTTTTTTTGAGTTTAGTGTGTTTAGCCACCCTAGAAGCAGCTACTTCTGTTGCCTATGTATTGCGATCTTCCAATGGGAATGCATTGTCAAGTATTTGCATTTTTGGAATTTGATATTTTTCACTCTTGGAAGTGGCTTTTTGTTTGTTTTGAAGCATGAAAAATTTAGTTACATAATCTTTGCTTTACACCTTTTTTGTTTTGGTATGGCAGCACAGATCTTGCTGTTGCATTCTACATGAAACCAATTTGTACCTCAATGGTGAAGGCTTTATGAATAGAGAAGATTTTTACCTGATACAATACAGTATCAAAAATTGGGACATTAGAGCAATTACTTAACGAACTTGGTAATGAATTTGTTGGTTTCATCTAGAAATGCCAATGTGGTATAAGAAAGATGATAGTAAAAGTCTGTGGAGTGCCAACATGTTATTTCAAACCTCTATGTTGCCTTCAACTCATTTCTGAGTTCTTTCTTAGGACTTAAAAGAGTGGTCATTCATGAAGTTGTATATGCTCTAGTTTATTTAAGCACAACTTTTTGTTCCCAAGTCGGCCAGTTTATGGACTAGCCCTGATTGTTTTGACGTTATCAGCTTCATGTTCAAGCTTGTAAATGAGTGAGAAACTATACTAATATTTTTCATCAGTAATGTCGACTCAAAGTGGTTGTACTAATATTTATCTAATGTTGAAATGTCTCTATTGTAAATTCTCAGTTTTTCTTGTATGATACTTGGGAGCAAATGATGTAGAATAGAAGACAAACCTAGCAGCTGCCATTGTGGTGACAAAGTATCTGTTTGGCAGAAATTATTTACTGCTTATTTCAGTTTTCAGCTTAATTTAAGCTATTTTGATGTGTTTGGTTTAGCTTATAGCTTATAGCTTTGTGGAAGTCAGAAATCAGCTTATTCTTTGAGTGGGGCAGGAGATGCTTTAAGAATAAGCTGAAAATCACCTTAAGCTGAAAGTTATAAGCTATAAACTGTTTAGGCATAAGCTATAAGCACTTTCCCACAGCTTTACCAAACAAGGCTAAAGGAAGGTAAATAATTGGCAATTTCTCTCAGCACAGAAATGAGCCCAGATGGAGGTCACTTGAGCAGAGGATGTAAGTAGCTCTGCTAGGAGTAGGGCTTACACTTTTAACAGAGATTTGTCCATCATCCTTTGATTAAAACCATGGCTGGTCTCTGCTAATGCCACTTGGGAGTCACTTCTGCAGGATCCTTATCTTTGTGATGTGATGACCTGTATCAGTCACTTGAAGTTGAAGTATGATTATTGGATGGGTCATTATACATTCCTGCAGCCTGGCTGTTATATGCTGATTGTAGTGTTGACCGTTGTTTTCCTCAACAAGTTGACATTGTAATTTCTCTCCCTCTCTCTCTCTCTCTCTCCTCTCTCCTCTCCTCTGTGTGTTTGTGTGTTTTTTTGTGCAGCTGTTTGTTTGTGTTGGAGTTAGTTTCTGCTGCTGCTGCTTTGTGTTTGTGTTGGAGTGGTAGCTGTCATATGGTTGAGGCATTCGTGTATGACTGAATTATTTTCAGTCATATTAGTCTTCAAACTACCTTTATTTGTTTCCATTGGCATTTGAGGTTGATTTGTCACAAATATTGTTCTGGTTAGGCTTCAACTACCCCAAGATTGATGGGCCAATTCTAGTTGTCTCAAGTTGTTGGCAGACAATTGGGATCCAGATTATCTCTGGAGACTTGAGAGCGATCTCTCTAAATATATTTACTTTAGTCGTCAACTTTTGTAGTAGTTATTCAAGGACTTAAAGGGTTTATGAATCACTTACACCTATGTGCTTGTTTGTTTTTGAACTATTTACAATACCTATTTTGTTTCCTCAGTTGCAAATGATTTTCAAGTCTTTCAAGGAGTAGGCTGTAAGTGCTGCTTACCCTTGGTGAATATTAGTTTGCTTATATCACTATTCTTAGTTAAGTAATTAATTGTGGGAAATTAATTTTCTAGTCGAAAATCTTCTATGTGAATTGTTTTTCTAGTTCATGGGTGGTTTAAGATTTGTCCATCTATGATCCCAAATTAGAGAATTGGTTAGAAATAACATATTTAGTATTTTTTTTGTGTTCATTTTTGTTTCTTTTTAAATTTGTTTCTGTTTTTATTATTTAGCACTATCCTTTGCAAAATTGTTTCTATTTTCTTAAAATAGAAATTGAATTATGTTTTTCCAATTTCCAATTATGCCATAATTAGTGATTAACACTGATAATGTGTGTATATATTTTCTTTAAGCATTTTGTTTCGAAAACTAGAAATCTTTGAAAATTTATTCACGGTCCCGTATTGCAAGATGGTTTTTAATTGTGGCAAAGGTTTGTGATGAATTTTCTTTATGATCTATATTGTTTGGAGGTTTAACTCGACCAGTCTTTCTTTTGATGATTTCACTTTTATGAATTTACCTGAATTTTTTGTTTTAAAATTCTCGAAGTTTTTTTGTTTTGATATGATGATTTCAGCTGTGTTTTTTGCTAGTTCAAGAATTTTTTAAATTGTTCCTATTTATTTATTTTTGCTTTGTAACATGGTTTGTTTCAAGTTGGGCAATTTAGGATTGCATGGTTTTCTCCTTTTATCAGTTTTGGATTCTTGCATCTCAATTCTCTTGTTAAAGAATCTCCAATTTGGAAGAAATATATTCAACATTAAAATTGATAGAATTGTTTGTGTAGTTTATTTTGGCTCACATTTTATATATATATATAATTTTCAAATAAACTTTTTATTAGTTATTTTATTTTTTATTTCAGAAATGTTCAAAAATTAAAAAAATATATGAAAGGATTTTATATTATTTTTTTTTACCTTTGTGGTGTATTGTTTCACTATGTTTGAAACTAATAATATTCAAGTATTAGCCTATGTTTTTGTTTTCAGCTTGATTATGAGATTGATTTTAATATTATTTGTAAATGCATTTGCTTTTAAGAATTTTTTTTTTTTTTTATGATTGTTAGAGATACGGCTCACAAATCACTTACAATGATGTGTTAAGAAGTTTGGATCTTATATGATTAAGTTTGTAATAAATTAAAAAGTTGGCTTCTATCATGTCTCATCATTGAGGGTTAAATTTTTGGGTATGGTTTCTGTTCAATCCGGGATTGGATTGGACCGTGTTATTGGCCCCGTGGAATCCACCACGGGACCTGTTTTGATAATCTGAACCGTTCAATGTGTAGAACTCATCAAGTATTATATGTTTGTAAAAAAATCACGTTGATCGGATATCGATAGCTATAATGATCAAATCAATTTTGTATTAAAAAAATTAGACAGTGAACAAATTAACGGTTGACAAAAAATTATTTTGATTACAAAACTATCGATATTTGATCAACGTGATTTTTTACAAGTATATAGTACTCGATGATTTTTACACATTGATGGTTCAGATTATCAAAACGGGACCTATGGTGGGTCCCTACGGGTCCAACAGCACGGTCCAGTCTGATCCCGAACTGGACAGAAGCCATATCCTAAATTTTTATAGCTTTTTAGGGATTTTAAGCATTAATTTTTTCAGAAATATTTTTTGAATATCTTGTTTTTATATGTACTCTTAGTATTGCTTGGCTGTTAACTATATTTATTTTTAGGTTTTTACTTGATGGGCCTATTAAAATTTAAGGGTAAATTACCAATATAACTTAATAGTTGGATTTAATTTTCATTAAGCTCTATTGAAAATAATTTTTAGTAAAATCGTTGTTAAAAATAATTTTTTATGATAATTTTTTGCATGTTGAAAATTGACAATAGACTTTTTTGTTGTTACGATGTTTATAAATTGTCGTTAAAATTTATAATTAGTGATATTTTTTTGTGATGAATTTTTCAAATTTTCGTTGAAAATTGAAAATTATTGACTTTGTGATGATTTTTAAACTGTCGTTAGAATTTGTAGCTAGTGATATTTTTTGTGACATTTTTAAAATCATTTAGTGATATTTTGTGACAATTTTTAAACCATTGCCGAAAATTAGTAATTAGTAAACTTTTTAATCGGTGGTATTTACATATATCAATTAGTGTACTGATTAGTGTATCAACACTAGTTATGACATTATTATTGACTCAATTCATTATATAAATTACAAATATTAAATTTTTTTAAAATTATGTCATATTATCAATTGGTACATGAGTTAGTACACTAATTGGTGCATATAGTATTATTCTTTTTTAATAGTGTTTGATAAAAAATATTATTAATTATCATAAGATCTATTGGATAATAAGATCATCTATTAAGATCTATACAAAAGTCTCCCTTAATTTAATTAGTTTGGAATAAATGCTTAGACAATTGTTAATATTTATATATTTGAAAAAAATATTTTCTAAATTTTTTAAAATTTTTTATGTGCTTTAAAATAATTTTGAATTGTTTGTTTGGTTATGAGTTGTAAGTTTTTGTATTAAATGTCACATCAAATATTTCTCACTCAATTCAAAATTTTTTTCTAAACTATTTTTAAAACTCTCACTAAACAAATTTTTCACACTCAAATCATAATTTCAAACCTCACAAATTCAAAATATAACTCATACGCTCAAATCATAATTACAAAACTTTACCAGATGCAACCTTAATATCTTTCCCAAGTGTCTGAGTTGGTTCATTTCATGGTTTAAGGGTTGTTTGGGATGTTTTAAATAAATGCACTTTTTGACTTTTTGAACTAACAAGTTGAGGAAAAAATATGGTTGTTTGGGTTGACTTTTTGATTTTTTATAAAAAATGTGTATTAAAAAATTGTATAAATTATTGTGTAGAGAAAAATTGGGATTGAGAGTTGTGTAGCGGTACTTGTTGACTTTTGGTGAATGGTGATAACTTTTTAAATTTTTGAATAACTTTTTGATTTTTTAATTTTTTTTTAATTTGCCAAACTTGGCCTAAGTTTGGTTATAAATCGGTTTTGCTATAGAACTAATTTTTATATTTACAAGTATAGTTTTTAAAATAACACACCCCATTTTTGTATTTTAGTTAAATTTGTGAATGCAATTTTTTTTTGTTTGAATTTTTAATAAACTTTGCTTCAATCACATTTATTTACACTTTCAAACACACCCTTAGAATAAGTGTGCGTACCTTGATTTTTTAGTGAACTTTGCTGCAATCAGATCCATTTACACCAACAATGATACATTCCACTAATTTGGGAGCACTAATGGACCACTAATGAGGTGAAAATTCAAAAAAAAAAAGAAATAAAAAAACTTAAGGCCAAAATATCACATCAATCAGTGGAATCTACTCTCTAGCTCTCCTTTAGTACTTCCAATTTAGAGCTCCCAAATATTTTTCCCATTTACCCTTCTAATCACATACCCATAAAGAGAATAAAAGTGTATGGATCACATGCACTCACTATCTATGTGTGTGTTTGAAAGTCTAAATGTATGTTTGTCTATCTTTTCTTCTTTTTAATTTATTGAGTGCCGTTTCACAAAATTTTCTTTTGAGATTGCTTGCCATAAATAAGATAATTTTTTTTTCCTTTTTCTCTACACTGGTTAATGCTAATCACCAATTTTTTATATTATCATTGTTTGATAGACGTATCAATTTTTTTTTCTTAGCTTGGTTTCTTGGAGTAGTTTTTATAAATGCATTAAGGACTCTAAATGAGGAGAGTCAAGCTA